TTCAGAATTTTGTATTCCCTACATCTTGGAAAAAAGCCATTGTCCTTCCTTTGAATAAAAATTCTAATCCGACCTCACCCGAAGATTTCCCCCCAATCTCAATTCTTTCCAATCTCTCAAAATCCCTAGAAAGATTGGTGCAATCCTAAGTCGCCAACTTCCTTGAAAAGTCCAACCAACTTGATCCTCTCCAATCTGGTTTCTGTCCCAGCTACTCCACACAATCCGCCTTGATTAAAATCACCAGCGACATTCAAACTGCAATAGATGATAATAAGTTAACTATCCTTATCCTTCTCCACTTCTCCAAAGCCTTCGATTCCATTAACCATTCGATCCTTTTCAACAAACTGAAATTATTATCCTTCTCCAATAGTTCCATCTCTTGGTTTCAATCTTTCCTTTCACAAGCAGTCTCCATACCCAATCAACCACTATCTGCCTTCCTTTCTTCATCCTCTGGAGTTACCCAGGGTTCAAGCATATCTCCTTTCCTTTTCAGCTCCTACATTAACAACCTACATAAATCAATTCTGCACTCTTCCCACCACCTTTGTGCAGACGATTCTCAGATGTATCTATCATTTTCCCTGCCTGAGTTATTGAAAGCATTTGTCAAGGTCCAAGAAGACCTAGATCGAATTAGTGTCTGGGCAAAAGTAAATGGATTAAGGTTAAATACTGTCAAAACTCAGGCTATTGACATTGCTTCCAAGCCCCTTCTTAGATCCCATACCAACTTTCCCATCCTTCACCTTAATGAACAGCCTATCTCCTTCTACACCTCTGGTAAAAATTTATGATTTTTCATTGATCAAATCCTCTTCTGGAATCACCATATTTCTCATACCTCTCGACGGACAATTTCCACCCTCAAACTATTCCATCGCTTCCACCATCTCCTACCTCAACATACGCATAGACTCCTAGTTTCCTCTCTTATTTTCCCCCACTTTGGCTATAGCTGTGTGGTGTATGATGGCCTCTCTGTGGAGCTCCGCAATAGACTGAAAAGACTAATGAACAGCTAGGTAAGATTTGTGATCGGGGCCCCAAGATACTCCCATGTCTCTAACCACTACGCTGAGTTAAAGTGGCTTTTTCCCTCCTTCCGAAGACAATATTTCCTAGGTACGTTCCTTCACTAAATCATCAACAACCATCGTCCTTCTTACGCCTACAATCTTCTCCAGTTCAAATCTTCAGTCCATTCCCTGTCCACAAGATCTCGACCTTCTAACCTTTACATGCCTTCTCACAGATCTGCCTCATCCTAAAACTCCTTTATAGCTCGCTCTATCAATTTCTGGAATTCTCTCCCTATCAAAATTCGACATTCCCCATCCATATCCACATTCAAAACCCTCCTATTCCAATTCCTATCCCAAAAACAGTCAGATAGTAGCTAACCATTCGACAACATACATTTATTTCATGCCATTCATTGTTAAATATCAATGCTAAATGATAATGTATTTATATATTAATCAGGCACTTTATATTGTCAGATTCAGCTTTCTGTTTTCTCAACAGGAACACAAAGCTTATTTTAATAAAGAATTTAATATATTTTTACTTTTTAATTCTTTATTGTTTTCTTAAAAGTGTATACTGGTCTATCAGTGCAAATAGCTTTAAGTGTCTTGTCATAGTGTTAATTGTTTTGTATATAGAATGTTTACCTTATATTTTCTTTACATTATATCTTTTTTTCGATTGATTTTATTTTGGCCAGATGTAATCTTTTAATTTTGTTCTATTTTGTTATTCTCAAGGGACCGTGTTCCAGAATAAAGTTATTTTCTATCTATCTATCTAATATTATTACCATCTTGGAAGTTGTTGTTTGGTAGTGAGACTAGTTGTTTGGGAAGAAAAGAGAGAGGATGTCCCAGGGAGCTTGAGTTGAGTAGAAGAAAGTGCCACCATTTTGAAAGATGTTTTGCAGAACATAGGAAAATGTTAGAAGACAAATTAATTTAGTGCAACAAAGGAAGAAACAGTATATACAGAAAAAAAGGTTAGCTTGCCAATCCATACTAGACTTTATTTTATAATCAGTGTTTAATTTTGGTATAAATAGTATAAATAATAATAGTTTGTCTAAGTGTTTGATCTGATTGTCAGTAACCCATACCTGAGATAAAATAATTACAAATTTCAAAATAAATATATTAATACTGTTATAATTTGTTTTTTATTTAATAACCTCTTATTTATTTAGTAAGTATCCCAACAGTATAAGGTGATCTTCCACGAGAACATATTCCTAGTTCAAAATATAAAAGAGATGTTACAATATATACATATACATATATATATTTTTTTCTTTCTTTTTTTTTCGGTGGGCGCTACAGACTTTGTAGATCTTTGACCGTGAGATGTGCTCTTCTAGACAACATCCCAATTTCTGATTCAAGTACACGGGTTAGAGTCATCAATCCTACGCCTGGTCAGTGTGAGTTGTCTCCAGTAGGCTGATGGGACTCACAATGTCATTTACAATAACAATGATTTACTGTTGATAAAGTGCATTTTTTATTAAAAACAAATAGTCTTATTTACTTTTACTAACATGAAGTTTTGTTTTTTATTTTAACTGCCTTGCCTCTAGACTACAAAGTATTTCATAACTTTTAAACTCACTTCTGATGGAAGTGGCTATTAGACACCTTATGATTTTCTGATATATAATTTTGCTTTGTGAGAAAGGTTCAGAAAACCTTCTGGAGTGCATCCAAACACTTAATGTTGAAAAATATGATCATCAAGATTTTTTTTCTTACAAATGTTAGTATTAAAACCGCCTAAGATTATTTTTGCACCATGTTTGAGAGGTCGATTAGATGTTCTTTCTCTCAAGTCAGAGTGAGCACAATTATTAGAAAAATACTGCAGAACATTCCATTCAATCTGATTTAATATATTTCCTAATTAATTGATGAGAAACAAATGAGCATGTTGTAAGTCGTTTTTTAGCTTGAGCATTCTATTCCGAGATTATTTCTTCAATTGTTATTGTTTATTATAATGTTCTCCTCCAATCCTGTTCTTCCATTTCCTGTAGGTTCATTATTTACCCTGTACTAAAGCATTTCTTTTTTTATTCATTTGAAGTTTAAGGCATTCCTTGACTAGGTTTTAATAAAAATTTCTCACATTCAATATAGCCAGATAATTTATTCCTTTTCTTGCAAACGCCATTGCTGTCGATCAGTCCAATGTTCCAAGGCTTGTTCAATTTCACTGATATATATATGTTTAAAAGGTGACAGTAGTCAACCCTGCATATAATCCCCAATCATAAGAAACAGTGGCTTTTTGAGACCTAGTTATCTTTATGAATAAATATATATATATATATATATAAAACTTATGGAATCAAACGTACTTTATGAATGAGCAAATAATTAAAGGCAAAAATTCAGGACAAGAAAGAAGCTTGGAAGAAGTATGGCCATTATTAAATCTCAGAACAATGGCAGGCATCTGTGATTGCAAGTAAGTTCAAAGAAGATGTGAAGAAGGCAAATTACAAATTTTTGAATAGTAAATCAAAGCAGAATCGTGATGAAAATATAAACATATTTTAGAGAAAAATTAAAGTATTAAGCAGTATATAAAAGGAAATATACTAGAAAGGTCAAGAACAGCAAAACAAAATGGTCTTGCTCATAAGGTCATTCTAAAGATCTGGGGAAAAATTTATGAAAGATAGAATGAAATTTATCCAATGGGTTGAGGATGAAACAGACCCATTGAAGACCATAGAAAATATCCCTGATGGCAGAAGAAACCTAAGGTTATTTAGGAGGTATCTGTAGTACATCAAGAGTTTGTATAGAAGAAAAAAATTATCTACATATAAGGAACCTAGAACACCAAAATAAGTACCATTCCTGGTTGAACACTCCTACCTACCTGAAAAAGTACGACAGGATATTGTGAAGGAAGAAGATAAAATGTAGACAATGACAAATAATCTCTTTTTACCGTTAGGCAATACAGGTGAAAACCAATCCAAGTAATGCTACACATAACAGGCAGCTATAAAACTGGATCTTGTGCTTTTTTCAGGGAGAAACCTCTTTGTAGTAAAGTATCATAAAATGGGAAACTTTAGTACATTGAAAAAAAATTTTCTATTTGATAGAGAACTAACACCCAGTTTTATAACAAATTCCTTTTTAAGTCAGCTACTCCATTAGTTTCTGCTTTCATCATCAAAACAATGTCCATAGTTTTGAACAGGCATTTAGTTTGTTGAGATTGAAAAATAAAATATTACACGGTCACTAAAAACTTTTTTATATAATATAGAGAATCCCAGCATTTCAATTTGTTGATATTGGAAAATAAATTATTACACGGTCACTAAAAACATTTTATATAATAGAGACAACTCCAGCATTTTAATTTGTTGAGTGAAAAATAAAATAAGACAGTTACTAAAAACTTATTTATATTTTCTATATTTTGTCTGCAATGTTTAGTTATATCTCTGGTATAAAATAGCTTTATGTATTGTCGAAAAATTAATTCAATGCCAAGCGACATTGTAATTTAGTACTCAGGGCAAAACTCAGTTTAATATAAAATTAGAAGGGGGCATATAATTAAATATGAGAACTACTCCAGTTTTACTATAAACAGAAAGTCTTCTAAACATTTGGATGGTCTGATTCTAAATAGCTATTGGAATTAGTTTTTCTGAAGTTAGCAGAGCTTCTATTGTACACAAAACTATCAAAAACTTCAATTTACTCATGACAAATTAAAAAATCAATTCATGGTATAATATAATAAATAATTATCTGCCACAACTGGCTGGGCTCAAAAGGGAACCTAGGAGTTATGAATCCGATGCATCACTCACTTAGCTTTATAATCAATAAAACTATCAATTACTAAAAGTGTTATATTAAAATCAATATTATTGCTTTATGCAATATTAATTCTTCAACACTTCAACCATTGACAGAAGAAATTATTTTGCTTACATAAGATGACTTTTTAGCAGCTCCTTCCAATTCATTTTTAACCTTTCCCACAGTATTAGATCATCTGGGAGTTTTATTAATAACTGTCCCTCAGCCATTGAATATAAACATAATAAAAATAAAAATTTAGACAAGATAAAAAGCATTGGATATCTTAACCTACACTATGCATCAACATAACAAATAAACAAAGATAATTAAGAGAGTAAAATCGTAATAAAATCACTTATCTTTAGATTTAACACTGCTAGTTAAAACTAATAATGCTAGCAATTAATTACAATAAGAATGGAGCAAGAAATCATAACAATAATGAAAGTGAAATTACTTCCTGAATTGGCATTTCATTGTTAGTTTTAATAAACAAAAAACTAAAGTAATATTTCGTCAATAATAGATAAAACATATTTACATCTCTATCGTTATTTTTATAATTTATGACGATATGGTCATATAAAATGTGTCCTTTATTCTTCACTATGGTCGCCATGTCTACGAAGATGATATGCCAGTTCTGTATACCGACAAAATAACCTATTCTGCTGAAAACTATCAAGTTTTAGATACATTTTTATGAAGAATTCTATTATTCCTTAATAAAAAAAAGGTTTAATGAAAATTCATTCATTAAAATAAAACATATTTTGTAAATAATTTTTTTAATTAAAATGACGAAGTATTGTTCAAAAGTGGGTGACACAATAACCATGGTAGTGTAAATCGGTTCAACTGTGTCAACCAATTTCAGTTCCTTACTTTTCGAGAAATAAGTAATAAATGTAAAGAATGCGTGGCAGTTACATTCAATGCTTCTTATTTATTGTATATCTTGAGCGTTGTCGGCAGTTGAGGGCGTTCCTAACATTTAAAAAAATTAAATGAACCGTCCGTTGACAAAAAAAGAATAGTTCTTAAGAATGTTGAAAAAAAAATAGTTTATGCAATTGTTTAATCTAATTAATTACGTAGTAACTATGACGTATTTATTTATATCTAGTCTTAAATAATAATAAGAGCCAGAACTTGCACAGAAAAAAAAAACAGGTCCAGGAAAAACATTGTTATTTCATTCACACTGTTCTGCAATTTTAATGATGAGCTGAGACAAAAAAAAAAAAAAAAAAAAAAGGTAACGGTTAAGAGTCTGGAAAAACGAAAAACGAATAAACGATTCAATTGATGGCGAACGGAATAACTAAATAAAAACCACATTTTTGTATTTCTATGGCAATTGTGCATGCTCCTACTGAAGATGCAGACGATGAAACGAAGGACGCATTTCACGGCGTTCTAGAAAGAACCTATGATGCTTTGCCCGTCTACGAAGTGAAACCTACCCTTGGAGATTTCAACGCGAAGATAGATACAGAAGAATATTTCAGACGCACGAAAGGGCTACATAGCAAACACTTGGAAACTAGCGATAATGGTTTCAGGTTAGTGAATTTTGCTTTGTGGAGAAACATGATGGTAAGTACCATACTCTTCCAGAACAAAAATATACACAAAGAAACATGGATATCACCAGATAGCAGGACAAAAAAAAAACAAATTGATCTTGTCTTGATACAACTGAGACACGCCACGGATATTCAAGAAATCTAAAGCTGTAGAGGAACATTGTGTGCATCAAATCACCAGTTGTCTGAGTTTGTTGAAATAAAATTGCGCTGAGCAACAATTAGCATGCTTTGATGTGGGACGGCTGAAGGACGAATACACTAGGTAATGGTTTGTCTCGAGAGTATCCGAGCTAATTTGAATTGACGGGAGAGTAAACGATGTCTCCCCAAGGTGGACACATCTAAAGAAGCCTTAAATAAAGCAGCAATGGAGGAGCTAGACGAAAAACCTAGAACTTGCTCGACGAGAAATGCAGGACAAAACTTGAAGCAAATTGTGAGGTGAGGAGTAGGATGATTCAACGTTTACTAGAAGTACAGGCAACGAATATAGTAACAATAGGAAGGAAGAAAAGAAGATCTGTAGGCAGAAGAATAGAAGCTGAAAGATCTCCATGAGAAATTCGAAGACCATAATTCCAAATAGGTTTGAAGCATGAGAAAGAAGGCAGGCTTTAAATCTCGCCTGAGCTCTAGTAAGAGTTAAGACGGAAACTTCCTGATGGGTAAGATTGAGTCAATCAACAGAGGTGTAACCAAATTTCAACATTTCAGCCGAAGAAATCAGCAAAGCTTGAGAAGTAAACGATGAAATCCTAGAAGGTGAAGAGTGGGCTGGGTGAGAGTTAAAGATGGTTGAGTCCCACATAAGTTACTCACCAGCTCATCCATCGGGAACAAGGATTTTTTACAATTTATTTAGCATAAGTAAAAATTAAAAGTTAATAAAATTTATTTAAAATAATTTAATAAAACTAAAAGTTAATAAAATTCATTTAAATAATTTAATAAAATTAAAAGTTAATTTAATTTCCAATTCCTCACATTAAACTTATTAAAAAGAAATAAATCTCTCTATTATATAAAAGAGTTTTTAGTGACCTTGTAATATTTTATTTTACGTATGTGTTGAGCTCCTATAAACTTCTACTCTCCTAAAACTAAATAGAGATTTTCACCCTGGTTTCTTGGAAAAATACTTTATTGTTATTTATTAAATTATACCGGTTAATATATAACTATAGATTACATGTAAATTGAAGTTATACAATTTGAGCAACGAGTAGTACAATTTAATGAACAGTTGTATAATTTGTAAAATGGAGGTTGGTCCGCGTTCGGTGGACAGGGAGTACTCTCCTAGTTATTTATAATCTTTTTTATGATTTACAAATTAGCATTAATTTCTCAAATAAAAATTACATTTTATACTTTTAATCCTTTTTTGCCTTCTAGTTGTTTTAAGAAAAATATTCGTAACATTTTTCACGAACATAATTTTATATGAATGAATTTCATTGCAACTATCCAGAAACTGCCATTGATTTTCTCGTGAGTAAATTTCAAAATGCCAGCAATTTTAATGACTCAACACTTTTCCCAATTTCTACCAGGACATTGTAATGAATTCCGTTAAAAAAATCCTTCAAACTGTACTATCACGAACTCCAAAACCTAATATCCAGTCTTCTGTTTCCTTGCAGAACTACAAACTCGTCTTTCCCGACCGGACTGGCGCACAGTGGGAAGGGTAAGGGAAAACTTATTGGGTAGATGGCAGAAGGTTGTGGAAGCACTTCCTCACTTTATGACGATGTTCTGCTGACTTTGGTGAAAGAAAATTCAGGAACAACTATTCGAGAACTTACAGTGAAACTTAAGCTTAGCAAATCGACCGTCGATGGCCATCTCAAGACGATTGGAAAGGTAAAAAAGCTTGAAAGTTTGGTTCCACACACATTAAATGACCGCTAAAAAAAACAGCATTATGAAGTTTGTGCTACACTTCTTTGCCGAAACAAAAACGACCCTTATCTGTCCAGAATTGTTACTTTTGATGAAAAGTGGATACATTAGATAAAGTAGATGTTCTGGACAGTGGCTCGACAAAGGAGAAGCAGCAAAACATATTCCAAAGTCTCGAACTCATCAAAAAAAGGTGATGGTTACTATTTGGTGGGCTTCATATGGTTTGATACACTACAGCTTCTTAAATCCTGTTAAAACCATCAATGCCGAATCGTATTGTAACCAAATTAATGCAATGCATCAGAAACTAGCAATAATGAAGACATCTTTGGTCAATCGAAAGGGGCTCATTTTGTTACATGACATCACCCGGCCACACATCTCAGGTGTGATGTCACAAAAGCTTTAATTCGAGTTCTTGAATAATAATTTTTGAAAATAAGGAAAAATAGTGAGAAATCGGGCCTCACAGTAAAGTAGGAGTAGTTTGGTTTTTTTCCTAACTTTGTTTTTCATATCAGTATGTTTCAAGTTTTTTTGTTATTTTATTTTCCATTATATATATTATTATTGATATATATTATTATAATTAGTTTTTGTATTGATTTTTGTGAATGTGAGAGAAGAAAATGCTGAACTTAATTTTGATGGATATAATAACTCACAACTCTCTGAAGCATGTACTACGTAAAACCCTAGTTTTTTAAATAATAGAAACATCATTTCCCCAACTATAAGGTGTATTAATATGCTTTGTAGTAAAGTATAGAAACTTCATCTTCCATTTCAATTCGGTTTTCGTTCTCAACATTCAACTGTCCAACAAAGATTCCGAGTTGTTGATCATATGTCTTCAACCCTAGAAAAGAAACAATAATGTTCGGGTGCATTTCTGGACATAGCACAGGTTTTTGACCGAGTATGGCACGCCGGATTGCTTAAATTTCGCCTACTCCTTATATCTAATACTCCAATCCTACCTCTCTGACCGCTCCTTCCAAGTTCGCTGTGGTACTGAATTCTCTGACTGTTATTCAATTGAGGCGGGAGTTCCGCAGAGCAACATCTTGGGTCCCATCTCTTCCATTCTTTTTACCGCAGATATCGCTGTCCATCCCGAAACCATTCTGGCAACATTCGCCAACATCCAACTTCTAATTCTACTTTAACTAAGTCTTTGAATAATGTTAATTTTATTTTATTTGACTGTAGGAGAAATAGTAAGTATATGTCAAGCATCTGAATAAAATTCAAATATTTTGTTTTTTCTCTGTCAATTTCTTTTTGAGTTATTTTTCACGATAGCTTGTCTGTGACTTCCTTTAGTTTGATACAAGTGCATAGTCCAGAGTTCATGTCTACACTGGCTTATAGATTGGCCAGTTGCCTTTTCCAATGGCTCAATTTCCAATGTTAAGATTAGTCCAAAAAAATCTGTAATTCTTCTGCACTACTTTTGGCATACTTTCTCTAGCATTCCCAAGAAACACAACCTAAAAAATATTGTGCAGTCCTTCATTTCAAATTTATTTTTTAAAATTGTATTGTAATCTAATACATAATATTTGAAATATTGTTTGTTAAGTTTATAGTATTATTTGTAATATATATAAATTGGAGGTGACCAACCAAAATGTGCAAAACAGTTTCCAAATATCTTTCATTAAGGTTTGGAAAACACAGTTACTATAAAACATTTCTCGATATAGCTGAAATCAGACATAGATGCACTAAACAAGATGTCTGTCTTGCAGAATTTAAGTGGAGCATCATGTCATTTATCCATCATCTCTTAAAGCAGGAATAGATTGTAAAAAGTGTTTATTACATTTACTATACATGTAAAGAGCAGTGTATTATGGTCAAAACTTTGATTTAAATTGAAGTGAAGAGGTAAATTGCACAAGTCTTTGATGGATGTCAGTTTTAATGCCTATTCTTGTGAACTTTACCATAAAAGATTGAAGGATGCTAGTCGACTGTCGACTACATATCAAAAAAAATATTTTTAAAAGGCGGCGTCCTGAATATTTATCACCCATTTACCATAAAAGGTTCCATGTTCTCAGTGCTGGCCTTAGGGTGGAGCAACAGGAGCATTTGCCCTGGGGCGCCTCTTGGGGGTGCTGGCCGATCTTTAGTGGCGCTTGTCATTTGTTAGAATTTTACAAAAATACAAAACGTATTAGAATAATAAATTTTAACCTATCAGTAAAGTAACTGAATTAGAAAAATCTAAAATAAAATAAAATTTAAATATTCCATAATATAAAACAGCTAAAAAAACTTTAATTTTTAGAGAGGAGGAGATGATGTCATTGCCTGGAGATGCTGAATGTCTAAAGCCGACACTGCATCTTCTATTTAATTATAAAATTGATAAAACAACAGTTTTAAATATTTATTTTTGAGTTTTTTGTACAGTAAAAAATTAAAAAAAAAAACAATTTTAGTTTAGTTTCTCTATAAGGTATGTACACATAAAACACAAAACATATGAAATAGCTATATACATACTAAATCATATGTATATGTTACGCTAATATATTAAATAAAAATTTAATACAGAAAATATATTTTTATAAATGGTTAAAACAGTATATAATATATAATATAACTATATAATTTACAAATATATAAAAATTTATCTTAAGATTTACTAAGCCTTCTATAATTATTACACAAATAATAAACTTATTTGTTTAGGTACAATAAAAAAAATATATATAATGTAATTAATTTGTGAAAAATGAATGGATCAATTATCACTTCAATAAAAAATCAATATACAATATATGTGTGTGTATGTATATTATATATACATATATATATTCTAATATGCGTGTGTGTGTGTGTGTATAATATATATATGTGTGTATAATATATATGTGTGTGTGTGTGTGTATATATATATATATATATATATATATATATATATTTTATATATATTTTTGATGATTATAATATATATATATTTGAAAGAAGTTGCTTTGATTCATCACATTCTTTAATATATATCTTTATACATATATATATACATACATATATATATATATATATATATATATATATATACATATATATATATATATATATATATATATATATATATATATATATATATATATATATATATATATATATATATATATATATGTATATATATGTATATATATATGTGTATATATATATATATATATATATATATATATATATATATATATATATATATATGTATAAAGATATATATTAAAGAATGTGATGAATCAAAGCAACTTCTTTCAAATATATATATATATTATAATCATCAAAAATTAATCTACATTATTTACAAATATACAAAATTTACATAGGTTTCCAGACGATGTCTCATGGTAACTTAACATGTTTAATTTTTCAAAAGTTTTTTAAGATTTCTTAAATAAATTGATAAATGTCGAGGTCTTACCTCATGCTTTTTAAAACCAAAAAATTTTGGAAGATAGCAATCAAAACGTGATGAATAAAAGTAACTTCTATTAAAACTATTCGGTTTAATTAAAACACTACAATTCTGCAAAGAGATATTTTCTTTCTGTAAAATATTTGATTGCAATATGGACTGACTTAAATTTTCACTTCTTAATTTTTTATTGGGCTGTTCATTTTCATAATCAGATAAACATCGCTTTGAAATTATAGGAGAATTATCATCTGCAGCAACCTGGCCATTATTTTCAAAAAATTCATTTCCATTTTTTTCTAAAGTCTCATTGTTGAGATCAGGATCATTATTTAATTTAGAACTCCCACTAGTCTTTTTATCAACTACAAATGTTTCTAGAGTTGTTATAGTGGAATCATCACCACTACTTTCTTCATTAAAAGTTTGCTGATCATCTTGGGGACGAAATTCAAAGAGTATTTCACTGGATTGATTACTAGGCCCTACTCGCAGGTTAATGGAATCTCCCGATGTATTAGAATCTTTATCTTCATCAATAGTACTGTTTCCGGGAGCTTCTAGCTCGATACTTTCTTTATTACCAATTTCAGTCTCATAAGAAATTGATTCCTCAGGTTCATTTAAATTATTTTCAAGTATTTGTAAAGAATTATTTGGGGTAAAAACTGAATCGTTAACACTCAAGTCATGAACAATTTTGGAAGAATTTAAATCTGAAGGCTCTTTTATGTTTGAATCTGTATCGAATGTTTTGTTTTCAAGCATCATAATTGAATTGTTTGTTAAATTTTCCACGCAATTTTGTTTTGTTTTTTGATTATCATCCGGAGGTACTGTGATCAAGCATGGTTTATTTACTTCAACATACCTTCTTTTCACAAGTATCGTTTTTTTTTGGCCATCAGATAACATACGGATATCTGATATTTGCATAAATTTGGAATTTTCTCCATTCAATCCGTTTTCCTTCACCAACTTAGGATTGAAAATAAAAGGCATACCTGCTTTTGTCTGAACAATGTACGGCGAAAATGTTTTTGTTTCACTGGGAATCAATGTTTTTCTAACTGAATTATCACCTTTTAATTTAATAAATTTTGACAACTGTTTTTGTTTAAGTTCATGATAATTATGAAAACTTTCTAATGAGGAACATGACTGTATATCAGAATTAGATGAATTTTTGTCAGAATCGTTTGTTTCAATTGAATAATTAAGATTTACCTCATTAATAAAAGTTGAGTTTTCAGCGTAATTATTGATACCATTCTCTCGAGAAGTACTTGGTTTGTTAGATAATTCCACATTATTGATTTCTGGAACTTTAAGTATACGCAAAGGACATTTATATTCTGTACTATGTAAGCGAGTTACATCTGGATTTCCAGATGTACTAGGAGCAAGATTTATAGCACCCTCATTGGTTTTTAATTTTAATAAACTTTGATTTTTTGGAATGATAATTCTTTTAGAGCCTAAATCTCTACTAACATTGACAGTATTATCATTAATAATTTTGGATGAAATTAATTGTCTAGGTATCTTTTTCACTGCTTTATTTGTAGCACCTCCAACATTAACCGATTGCTTGGCTGATACACCTTTCAATACCACAGTCCGGGAAAAATCATATTCAATTTCGGAAAAAAGGAAAGTCATTGATTCAGGTTTCAATATTCTGAGTAGTTCACAAAGTTCCTTGTGGTTGCTATGACAGTAAAAATTAAAATTGTATACACTTCCTTTTTTCTCAATTTTCTGAAAACTTTTACATGAATCAGAAAAACGGTTTAAGTAAATTGTAACGTTATTTTGTTCAAAATCTCTGAAACAAAAAAAAATATATATATAATAAAACATTTTATCAAACATAACATATTCCATAAAATATCATTCCCTTATTTTACCAACTAAGCAAAATATCATAATTGATTAGCTTACTTTGTTTTAATAATTGTTTTATTGATAAAAACTCGTGATTTATAAGAAAGACGAGTGAAGAATGATTCAAATCCAAGAATTTTCATTATTTCCAAAGTGCTTTGACAAACGTAAACTTTCTCCTAAAAAATAAACATATATATATGAAAAAAGAAATTAAAGATATCAATTGAACTAGATATTGGTTAGGTATTAAATACATTTGAAGAAATAATTAATTTAAATATGCAAATTATACTACATACAAATTTAGTTTATGAAAACTAAAATAAATATTCTTGCTATTATGATTTTTTTATAAGTGGTGATCTGAACTGCTTAATAACAGCATTCTTGAACTTATTTTTTTTTTTTTTTTCTGTTGGCCTTACAGACTTAAAAATAATTATGGGAGATATAAATGCCAAGATCGGTAAAGAAGTGGCATTAAAGCCCACAATTGGACCACACAGTAAACACGATGTGTCACACAAAGATATTCATAAAGAAACTTGGATATCCCCAGATGGGAAGATAAAAAATCAAATTGACCACGTTTTTATAGATGGTAGACATAACTCAGACATCTCAGATGTGAGAAGTTATCGAGGCGCAGATATCGACTATGATCACTTTTTGGTTAGAGTAAGTTATGGGCAGAAGCTTGCAAGAAGGGCTCGAGGATATGGAGAGAAGTTCACAAGATATTACAGTGATCTCCTCAAACTGATAAACTATTCAGATTCATTTAGGGAAAAATTGAATGGAGCCTTGATGGGCATACAGGGAAGCGAAAGTGGGGGAATGGATGGTAATTGGAGCAGAATTGAAAGCACACTAAGGAGGGCAGCGGAAGAGGTCCTGAGAATAAGACAGATTGTGGCAAGAAGTGAATGGTTTGATGAGGAGTGTCAGATGGCACTGAGGGAGAGGAATGAAGCAAAAATGTAGATGCTGCAGAGAAACATGAAGCAGACCAAGGAAGTCTATAACACAAAGAAAGGGCTGCAAAGACTATTTGTAGGAAGAAGAAAAGAATGATGGAAAGAAGCAAAGTGGAAAGGCTACAATCTGAAAGGGAAGAAACAGTCCAGAAAGTTTTACAAAGGGCTCAGAGAATTTAAACATGATTTCCAACCGAGGACATGTGTTTGCTAAGATAAAGAAGTAACATAGTGAGAGGAACTGATGAGGTATTGGATACTTAGCGACAATATTTCCAGGAACTTCTGAATGGAGATGAAAACACAGTGAGGAATGTGCTGCATGGGCGTACACAAGAGGAATTGCTGAGTGGCGAAGATGATGTGGAACCACCTGATTATGAGGATTTGGTGGAAGTGGTTGAAACACTTAAAAACAATAAAAGCCCGGGAAATGATAGCATTGATGCGGCAATGATGAAATACGGTGGAGAGGACCTACTAAAGAAGGTATACGACTTGTTGAAGGTATGGCTCGAACAAAAAATGCCAAAAGAGTGGACGGTAGCTGTTATCTGTCTAGTTTTCAAAAAAGGAGATAGAACTAAATGCGAAAATTATAGAGATTTATCTCTCCTGGAGTAGTATATAAGGCATTTTCCTTGATCCTAAATAAAAAGTTACAAGTATGATCCAAACGTATTCTTGGTGAGTATCAATGCGGTTTCAGACCAACATAGATCTACAATTACAAGGGACCGAAGTCTCAGGATAATAAAAATCTATTTGCATTTCATTTCATTTCATTACAATCGACCTAATATTTTCTGTCAAACAGATGTTGGAAAAATACAATGAATATAATGTAGATCTTAATCATCTTTTCATCAATTTTAAACAGGATTACGATAGTGTCAATAGAAGTTATTGAAAGCAATAGTCACTTTAGGTATACAGAAAAAGTTAGTTAGATTAACAAGGATGACACTGACTGATAGTTGCTGTAAAGTCAAGATACAAGAAGCACTATCAGAAAAGTTTACAGTTGAGGACAGCCTAAGGCAGGGAGACCCCTAGTCCCCAATTCTTTTCCATCTAGCCTTAGAATATGGAGAATGTGCTATTCGGACAAGCCCTCATGGCACGATATATAATAGATTGTCACAGCATCTAGCCTATGCAGATGACATGGTGATGTCGGCTAGATCAAGAGCATCTTTATTGGGAGCATTTGAGGAGTTCGAAAACACTGCAAAAAAGTTAAAAAAAGTTTTTAAAAAAATACTGTATATATGAAGTCAACAAGAAACCCACCAGAAAGAATGAATTTGGTAGCCATATCTTCAGGATAGCAAACCAGTTTAAATATTTGGGTACTCTTGTCACATCAAAGAATGAATACCAAGAAGACATTAAGGCAAGAGTAGCAGCTGGAAACAGGTGCTATCACAGGTGGATCTATGGGGGGAGGGCTAAAGTATTATTGTTCGTGTAATTACATTTAATAGGACTTTAAGAATTACTTAAACATCATGTCATATAGGTAGTTAGTTTCTCTCTTCTTTTTTTAAAATTAATTATCGTTATATGTATGAAAAAAAAATCTTTCGGGGTGAAGCCCCCAAAATTAAGACCTGGATTCGCTAGTGGGTGCTATAGCGCTGCAGAGCTAAGGTCATATTATATGAACAGGCAATAGGCCAGTTGTATCCTATGGCTGTGAGACTTGGGTACTTTCCAAAGAAAGTGAAAGAATGTTAAAAGTTTGGGAAAGGAAAGTACTCAGAAGAATATATGGACCTGTCTGCGAGAACGGCAACTGGAGAATAAGAAAGAATGAGGAGCTGAAAGAAATGGTCCAAGAACCAGATCTGGTTTCTTTTGTTAGAAAGAATCAGTTGAGGTGGCTGGAACATGTAGAGCAGATGCCGGTGATTAGGATACACAAAACATTACTGGATAGTAAGCCTGGAGGAGAAAGAGTTAGAGGAGGTCCACGATTAAGATGGTCAGATGGAATGGAGAAAGTATTGAGAGAGATGGGAGTCAGAGGATGGAGGAGACTCGCCCAGGATAGGGAAGAGTGGAGTAGGATTGTAGAGGAGGCCCAGGCCTTTGTAGGATTGTAGCCCCATGGAGTGAGTGAGGTCATTCATTGAGGTTATTGTGGAGTCAAGGAACTTGAATTTTTCCACTATCGGGAGTGATTTTCCTTCTACACAGATCCTGTTATTGGGCCGGAATTTCGGACTAATTATTATATATTTTGTTTCATCTTCATTAATTTTTAGGCTGATCTGATCTGTTTCTCCTATAACAATCTTAGCAAGCTTAAGTAGTCTCTCCCATATTTAAACAGTTCTGATGGTAGGTTGTCTATCCCAATTCCTGGGGCTTTTCTTGTTTTGAGCCTTTTGATAGCTATTTCTATATCCAGTATATCTGGTTTTTCAATCTCTTGTGGATCAAGGTGCTCAGTGTGGTTCATGTTTTCTTCATTCGTTGGGTCCCCTTGATTGAGAAGTTTCTAGAAAATTTTCTTCCAGATGTTCAATATCTTTTCTTGAACTTATAAAATTTAAAGATTTCAATCTTTTCTAACCAAAGGTATGAGGTCAGTTATACGATATTACTATAAAATAAACTATGATAAAACAAAAGGGAAATCAAATCCTCACTGTTCTGAACTAATCATGTAATAATCCTCACCCCAATATACTTCAATTATGGTTTTTATCTTATAAACAACCTAACTAGACATTTTCCCTACTATAAATACCTAAATGATTTAGTATAATTTTGTTTTACATTTATTCATATCATTATTTTATGTGAATTTTATTACTACACATTTATTATTCAAAAATACTTTGAATATATTGAAATAATACATCTTTTTAACCTCCTTATTTCTATAAAGAAATCAACCCACCAATAACATTTTAAGTAAAAAGTTATAAATCTCAATAACACCAACTTATTACAAACATAATTAACATAGATAATTATATTCAGACAAAAATTAGAATTAATTTTTAATGCATAGAACTATTCATTCCAAATTAATTTACAAATTAAAACTCACATATAATATAAAACATGTTAATTGAGTTTTAGGCCAAGTAAAACTGGCATGTAATAAGGATAATTGCCTGATCTATATACTTCTTCCTTTCATTTGACTTAATTGAGAAAAATGTTCATAGATCCAAGTTCAAACTAAATCATTGCTTAATTTCAAAATAAAAGAATCAATCAATAGAAAATAAAATCCATTGTGATACTGCTTCAAGTAATTCACTTGATAACAAAAACAATTCTTGAAGAGAAGCATGGTTGGGGCAATCAGTCAAAATAAAAAATAGATAATAATATTTATTTTTACATTTGCCGATGTTTCGCCCCAAAGTTCAGGCCTTAATCAGGGCTAAGAAAAGAACCAGATAACAATAGGTATGAGAAACTATAAACATTGAATAATAAAGAATTAAAATAAAAAAGTGAAAGGTATAGACAAAAAATTAAGGTAGAACTTAAAGTTAGACTAAACTAACATAGACTTAACGTAAAATGAAGTAGACAGAGTGAACATTAAAGTAAAATAAAGTAGATAGAATGATAACAATAACAGAGAACTAAGGTATAAATAATAATAACGGCAACAAACTGTTATACTAATGAAATAAACATAGTCAAAATAAGGTAGCATAAGAAATAAAAAATGGTAATCTTAGAATAAAATGTAAAACAGAGAAAAGGAATATGAAGTTATATAAGGAAATAATAGATACAAATAGAAAATTGAGATATTGTAAAATCTACTGACTACGAATAAGAGAATAAACAGTTAAAATAATGTAAAAAAGATAAATGGAAATATACAAATGTATCAATATATATATATACCTATTTATATATATTAGACCTAATCCAGAAGATATGGGAGAAGGAACCGATACCAGAAGCATGGAACATAGGGTTGATCTGTCCTATCCTTAAGAAGGGCTCCATGTATGAATGTAGAAATTACAGAGGCATAGCACTTCTTCCAGTGGCCTATAAAATAATGACTAATATTCTGCTAAATCGAATATATCCGTATTATGAAAACATAATAACCATCAAACAGGATACAGGAGAGGAGGAATACGCTAGATCAGATATTCTTCCTAAAACAAATATTTCAAAAACGATGGGAAGTAGATCAGGACGTACACACCTTATTTGTCAACTTCAAAGCAGCCTATGACTCCGTGGACAGAAACTATCTCTGGAAGATCATGACTGAGCTGGGTGTTCATGGGAAATTAGTGAGGTTGATGAAGGCATGTACAATTATTCCTAAATGCAAGGTACTAATACAAGGAGAAGTATCTGAAGCCTTTGAAGTTCGAACAGGTTTGAGGCAGGAAGATGGACTCTCGCTGATACTGTTTAACTTGGCACTAGAAAAAGTAATAAGAACAAGATCACGCGAAGATGGAGGGGTGCACGTCGGAATGAAACACAAAATCCTAGCATATGTGGATGATATAGCTGTCCTCGGAAGTAATCAAGAGGATATTGAGACTCGCTCGCACTTCTTTATAAGAAGCAGAGCAAATCGTACTATGTAGATAAAACAAAATACATGATAGTTAGCCGAAACATCATAGCCTAATAACATGATCTGCGTGAACTGTAAGTCATTCTTGAAAGTAGACAGATTCCAATACCTCGGCTCCACAATAACCTCAATAAATGATCAACAGAGATAGACCAGCGAATAACAAGTGCGAACAGATCTTTCTTTTCTCTTTCAAGGGTACTGAAATCCAGAAAAATCTCCAGAAATCTAAAAATAAGGGTGTACAATGCTGATTAAGCCAGTTATGCTGTATGGTTGTGAAACCTGGGCTCTAACCGGCACACTAGAAGCCAGAATTGAGAGATTCAAAAGAAAAGTTCTACGTAGGATAACAGGATCTATATGGGACCAGAACCTTGACACAACGAACGATAAAGAACTGCTGAAAGAAACGGGTCAGTCAATATCTCATGACATGAAGGCAAGAAGGTTAAGATGGGCAGGAAATGGAGCAATCCACAATTCATCAGGACACCTTTACACAACAATGAATGCCAGAGTACTAGGCAAGAGACCACGTGGGAGGCCAAAAACCAGATGGATAGATAGGATAAACAAAGATACGGCTGAGCTTCATGCAGCAAACTGGAAAGCAGTAGCAAGATAGGCAGAGGTGGAGAAGGCTGGTTCAGGCGGCTAAAGATCATGAGTAATATTCTTTAATGACTAATATGACTAATATCTCTACAAGGTGTGTAGAGCCAACAGAAAATATATATATATATATATATATATCTGTATATAACAATAATGTAAATCTTTTTTACACTATTTTAACTGTTTATTCTCTTATACGTAGTCAGTATAGTAGTCAGTATAAAAAAATGTTTTGTTTTTTTATGAAATGAACTCATTGTATCTCTTTTTCGTTCTTCATTTCTCAAAGTGTATGTTTATGTTGTTCAACCCTTAAATATAATTTTGTTCATAGTTCAAATGATTCGTTCATAGTTTTAATTGTTTTATTCATAATTTTAAATGCTCTGTACATAGTTTTATCTGTATTGTATATAGCTTGTGCACCTAAGGTTTTCTTTACTTTTTATTTTATTTTATCAATTTTATTTATTGTTTCAACGTTCAGGCCAGTAATATTCTATTATTTTGTACATTATTGTTATTCTGAAGGGACTTAGTCCCAGAATAAAGTTTTTTTTTCTATCTATCTATCTATCTATCTATCTATATTTTGAAAAATTTTACAATATCTCAATTTTCTATTTATGACTATTATTTCCTTATATAACTTCATATTCCTTTTATTTGTTTTACATTTTATTCTAAGATTACCATTTTTTATTTCTTACGTTACCTTATTTTTACTACATTTATTTCATTAGTCAAAACTTTGCTGCCGTTATTATTATTTATTTCTTAGTTCTCTGTTATTGTTCTATCTACTTTATTTTACTTTAATGTTTTTTGTACTTTCCATTATCTGTCGGCATGGACTGCTATTTGCCAATGTTTATATCCTGAACACTGATAATCCTGATAAGCCTTCTCGTAATTCCTATCTTCTTATTCATATTTATTGTATTATATTCGTATTATTGAAATTTTACACAAAAACAAATGTAATAATAAAAAAAAATACTTTTATTTTACAACATATATATTAAATTGATATATATATTTAATATATATGTTGTAAAATATATATATATGTGTGTAGGAAATGTGATAATTCCCACAACAATCAGAAAATACTAATTTTACATACACAAGGCATAAATCATACATTTTACATATATAAGGCATGAAATGGACAAAAATAAATGTAATAATAAAAGAAATGAAATAATAAAAAAACACTTAAACAACATATGTACATATAAAAGACGAAAATGAAATAATAAAAAACACTTAAAGAACATATTTACATATAAAAGAAACAATATAAACACTATAAACGACATATGTACGATTTATTTTCACTTCATCTTATTTATTTTGGTAGGCAAATAGCTTGTTTTTCCGAAGACGGTAATTCCCAGAATGTAACAAGATCCATAATTTGATGAAAACAATAAAAACAGGCCAAAAATAAAGAATTTAATAACTGAATGTAATAAGTGAATAACTGAAAAATAAACAATGTAATAACTGAAAGGTTTGGCAAGATTAGAAGAGCTAGATTATGTGACGTAATGTTAGATAACATAGATAACAAGGGAAGTTTCATCCCGCACGGCTAATGGACAAGTACTAAGTTTTTTGTACATAAATTTTTAGTCTACACCTTTCACTTTTTTATTTTAATTCTTTATTATTAAATGTTTATAATTTCTCATACCTATTGTTATCTGGTCATTTTCAATGAATGCCAAAACGCCAGCAAATGTAAACATAAATATTATTTATTATTGATATTTTTTTATTTCGACTGATCAGCCCAACCATCCTTCTCTTCCATTATTCAGTACAGTAAACCATCAAGCCACAATTAAAAAACAATTCTATGTAATATCTATTCTATTTGGTTCTTTTTAAGATAAAATAAATGAAATAACAAATATAAAATCAAATTAAAAAATAACAACATAATATTTTATTATATATAAAAAATTATGTTACTGTGATTACATCTATTAAAAACAACATCAAGATATGAATTACCTCCAGCCTAGAAGCAATCTCTGCAATAAGTGGGTCCATTGTTATTTTTTCAGCATATATATAAAAAAATTTCATCGGGTCGTTCCTATTATTCATTAGAAAATTATAATTAGTATTGTAAACGATAATGAAATGATAAATATGAATGAACAATATATAAATATTTGAATCATGCTACATACATTACTAAGTCCAACAACTTTACATTGCCTCTCTATATTTCAATAGTATCTAACAAAAATACAACTCACAGATAAATTAAACTTATACCTAAATTATCTATCACAAGTAAAGACCACTAGATATTTTTTACTATATATAAATATAAAATTTTGTACCCTGGAAGGCTATTTCAGATTTAAATATAATGAAAAATATTTTTACTTAAAAATCATTGATAATAAGTGTGTTAACAGTTAAATTAATTTTACAAATTATAATATGTATAAATCCACTAAAGAAAATTTAGTTAAATATAATAAATATAAAAAAATAAATAAGTAATAATAATGAATGGGAATGCTTACTTGATAATTTCAACAACTTTGAAAGCAATTTCATCAAATCCTAAGAAATTGGATGGCTGTTCATAGTACATGTTGTCGAGATAAAGTCTCGTTAATGCCTAAAAAATAAAATAAAAACTAATATTTATTTAAAATCAGAATCAGTATATAAATAGGCAAACACAAAACGGTTCAGCCCCTTTTTTCTCCTCTATTATTCAACCGATTTTCTTCCTTCTTTTTTGGTTTAATAGCTATTGACAAGCTTTAGTGTTATCAATAAATACAAATATGAAATAGTGTATGTAAATAAAAATATAAATGGTAGTTTGTTCAAAACAGCTAATCTCTGAAAGTTCTTCACCTATTTTTTGGAAATTTTGACACGTCGCATTAATATTTAAGAGTGTTTTTGTATACGTTTCATTATCATCAGGCCTTTACTTACAAAATGGAGGCTGAAAAAAGGGATTTGCTTTAGACTGTAGCGCCAATACGGCTGCAACGATTTTACTGAAACTTGGCTAAAGTCTTCCCCTTTAAACATTTATAATTTATTGTAATGTACACCTTTATTGGAAATGGTTAAACATGATTTAATATATTAATGTTAAACAATTAAAATGAAAGCTAATCTAGTTCTAGTAGTGCAGGGAAAAGAAAATGGCTACTCTGTCGTTTCCCAAGAAGGAAAATCCCAAAGAGGAGAGGGACAAAGGTTTTTGTTTTGGCAAACAGTTGTTGTGTGGCTGTAGTGAAGAGAGGATAGCAGGAGTGATCCTGGCTCCAGTGGGAAAAACCCAGTAATAGTGTTACCAATTTGGAAAAGTTGTTTGGCAGAATTTTGGAAAGTGTTTGAAAACAAATCAAGTCAGTCCCACAAAGGAAGAAACATTGTATATAGAAAAAAGGTTAGCTCGTCAATTAATATTTGACTTTATTTTAAAATCAACAGTGGTTAATATAGTTAATTTTAGTTTGTCTGAGTGTTTTGATCTGATTGTCAGTAACCCACACCTGAGATAAATAAATATATTAATTCTCTTATAATTTTGTTTATTATTAAACAACCTCTTATTTATTTAGGAAGTATCCCAATGGTAAGAAGTGAGCTTCCAAGGTTATATCATTATTATTATTTTAAAATATTAGAGGGATGTTACATTATGTATACAACATACTTTCCCGACAACAAGCTGCATAAATTTTTATGATGAATTCAGTATTTTGTTTGAGAATAACTCAAAAAGTAGACATTTTTTTATGGATAAACCAATATTTATTTGAAAGCTTCCTGAATTCCCCACAAATAAAATAAAAAAATCATCGAAATCGGACTATTTGTTGCAGAGATATATCATTTCAAACACTTAGTACTTTTTCTTTTGCAAAGATGATTTCCATTATTTTGGTTTTTGATAAATCGAAAACTTCACATTTAATGAAGTAATCGGGACTATTGTTTGAAGAGATATCATTGAATGTTAGTGGAATGTTACCCCATAAATTAAATTTAAAAGTAAATTCTATAGTTATACTCATTCTTAACTTAAATACTGTACAAACATTAGTTAATGGATCACGGATGAGAGTGAAGTACTAATGGGAGCTACTTTAAATAAAAGAATTTTAATTCTAAGAATTTCGCATGAACAATTATATGTAGCAGCAAGTAGAACACATTCGTTTAAAATTTTGAAATTTATATTTTCAATGACAATGGATAAGGCTATATAACAATAACAGAACATTCAAAAAGAACATAGTTTACATTACAGAGAAGTTCTACATAAAAATGTATTTAAACTGAATTGAAATTGCTTTTTTGAAATTTTGTTTTTATTAATAAATGAGGATTTTTAAATTGTGATTTATTCTTTATTTATTAAATTTATTTTTTATTTAATTATATGTTTTCCTCAAATTTTTAATGGCTCAAATTTCGACCACTGGGCAAACACTAGTAAATTTTAAATTGTCATTGGTGCTTCTGAAAGCAAAACACTTTTTTCACACAATACCCTGTTTAATAATTTTATAAATATTTCTGCCATTTTTATTTGAACATTAGTCTCACATATTTTCTCTTCCTTATTCCTGATCTAAGTACTGTGAGCCTTTTGATGTAACAATAAAAGAATTTAAGGTTCCTTTCTGTCCAGTAAGATTCCTTTATTCCTTCAATGCCTTTGCGCCTTTGTGTGCATCTCTTGGTACCCTAATTATTTGCCTTTTCTATTTGTGTTATTTTAAAAGACTATTATGTTTTATATTCCCCCAAAGTTGACAAATGTCTTTTCTAGTGTTTATTTCTTCTTTTGATTACCTCCTTGCAACTTTTAACAATTCAACTGAGAACTTTTTATAATCAAAAATATAATGTTACTCCTATCAAACATGACATTAGTTTAATGCTGCTGGCATGTGACATTATGAACTTTTCTATAAGGAAATATCATGTTATTTAAAACTAATTCTCTAAAACTTTTGAACAATTTGCTCAGTTGCTCCGATTTTCATTTTCATTTACAATCCCATTTAGGCTTCCTTTTGATCATCATGTTTCCCTTCTTTGTCTTTGACCTCAATATGGCTTCACTGAGTTCCGAAGTTTCAGCAATGAAATGTTTTAATGACTAGCTATCAGTTGATTACACTACAACAATGTGTGCTTTAGTTAGTGATTGTAAGAAGAGAACATTCTGCTTCTGGGTTTAAAATAAATTCTGCCCCAACAAAATATAAATAATTTTAAGTTTTACAGACTTTTTTTTTTTTTTGCACTTACATTTATTTATCCGCACCTGTCTATTAAAGTTTTACAGACTTAAAACATCAATACTGAATATATGTGTGTGTGTGTGTGAAATAGAAAAAGTAGTGGTAGTATATCACCTGTAAACAGTAATTAAAGTGGGGTTATATCTTCATTAATCTAATTTTCAGATTTGATGATTTAAGATTGTAAAAATTAGTGGGTGATATACTACCACTACTTTTTCTATTACACACACACATACACACACACACACACACACACACACACACACATATATATATATATATATATATATATATATATATATATATATATATGCTTAATATATGTATGAATGTGTGTGTATATATATATATATATATATATATATATATATATATATATATATATATATATGCTTAATATATGTATACATACATATATATCTGTTACTTTAAAAAAGTTGAAAGTAAATTTTTGTGACAGCTCGGAACTAATCTAAACCAAATTCATTAGGAAATAAGTTTAAAAAAAAAGTTCTATGAATATCATAAACAATGAAATAAAAAGAAATACTCTGGTTTAAAAATGATGATAAATTCCCCCAAAACAATCATTATTTATAATTTAGAAACCGAATAGAAGAGGATCATATATATTATAATGTAATTTACCTTTTCCTTAATTACTGGCAGTAAAACAGGGGATTTCACAAATCCTGGGTGGTAACAGAAATTTCCAGTGTATAAATAAGAACCAAAAGTCCCTGAAAAAACATTGCTTAATAATATGCATAATTTTTACTGTATTTATTCAAGTGTTTTCTTAACATAAAAGTATAACATAAAACTAAAAATAGAAGAACTTCATTTTTCTAAATATCTATACATAATATTTTACATATTGTCGCACAATTATGGATCTACTTTATTTCTGCTTAAATTTTGTAACCATGATCAGTAAATTTATGGATTCAATTAAGAAATCTTAAAATAAATATCATTTCTTGACTAAAAGAAAAAAGAATAATATGAGATATATAACAAAAATCCATTCAACCTCAATGGTCAGTACAAATACAAATGATTGGAATGTTGAGAAACTGAAGAAATGATTGTTATATGAAGAAAAGAAAAATTTAAGAGGAATATATATATATATATATATATATATATATATATATATATATATATATATATATATATATATATATATATATATTGTTATGATTTTTATTTATCGATAATTAAAATTCAAAAACTATGTTGGGGTTGGAAATAATATTGTAGGGAGGGAGGTGAACCCCAAACTCCCTGGCTCCATCCCAGTCTTGTTCCAGCTGTTGGCCAGGATGGACGGAAAGTTGTCTGTCAGTTTTTTGGGAGAGCTCCATTAAACATCACTATAGCCACATTAGAAAAGATATACTGGATGAAGACCACCTTTGGTGGTCTTGGCAGGATGGAGCAGCCTACGTTTGGAGCTACAATAAAGACAGTCCATTTGAACAGTATTTTATACATATCTTTATAATTATATAATATAATTTATAATATATTATATAAACATAATTTCAATTTTATTTTTGTTCATTAATGTTTTGTTTATTAAACATAATATTAAGTGTATCGACGTCGTTTATTTGATCCTTAGAATACACAGAACGTGAACCAATCAATGGATGAAAATAAAGCTCTCTATACTATACTATATAAAAATATATATATATATATAGATGTGATATTGTTAAAATAGTGAATTTAATTAAATTTAAAATTTGATTTATTAATAAAATTTACTGGATGCTGAGGGCTTTATTTTCATAAGTTAATTGGTTCACATACTGTGAATTCTAAGGATCAAATAAACAACATTGATACACTTAATATTATGTTTAATAAACAAAAATAAAATTGAAATTATGTTTATATAATCTATTATTATAAATATATGTTTAAAATACTGTTCAAATGGACTGTCTTTATTGTAGCTCCAAACGTAGGCTACTCCATCAACTAAATGTGGACTTATATATAATATATATATATATATATATATATATATATATTAAACATATATTTATAATAATATATATATATATATATATATATATATATATATATATATATATATATATATATATAAAATGTTATTTATTTTTATTTTTCATTTTCCTTCTATGGTAACCCCAAAGGAGAGTTTATTAAATGAATGTTCCTATTATAATTAGGCACACTACATGTAGTACATGTTGCATTTTATAATACACAGCATATGTTGTATACAATACACAGAATTGTATTTCATGGACACACCAAAATATTGATATATATTCTGTATTTGTGACTAGTCCTAAAGGGACACTAGTCCCAGAATAATAAAATTATTTTCATTCATTCATTCATATGTAGATATTTGAAATATAAGTTTAAATAAATTAATTAAATCATAAACAAACCATACAAATAAAATTATCAGAATCAAAAAATTTCAATATAAAAATAAAAGACAGTATAATACAAAATAAGTGGAAAAATAAAATAAATAAAAAATATAATGAATTAAAAAAATAATTGAATAACTGAAAATACAAGAAACAACACTAACAAGAAAAATAATTTAATAAGTACAACATGAAATGCAAAACTAATCAACTTTTAATTTAACCTACCTTCCTACATTCATCTCTCAATGAGTCAAAGTCTATTTTTTTAAATAAAATTTTCAAAATCTTTTTTAAATTTTGCCATCAATCTGTGTCCTGTTTCTGGCCAAGTTCCTTGTTTTAATATAACATTTTGTATCAGTCTTGCTCGAATATTGTTTAGTTTTATGCAGTCGAATATTAATTGTTGAAAACTGCGCATTGTGTGGACATTTATTGTGTAGTATGTTAAACCGTGTTAAATATTGTTTAATTTTCCTGTGTTCATTAAGTCAGTTTTTAGTCAGTAGTGCGTAACCATTTATAATTGTGGTGTATGATTAGAGAAATAAAGCTTGGTTCCATTTGACTATTGTTTTCATTCTGAGGTCTGCCTTTATATATGACATAGGAACCTTACTATATGATAGCAGAAGGTCATTACGCGCAGCTGATTTTGCAAAGAAATCCACTTCTTCATTACCTTCTATTTCCGAATGCCCCCTAATCCACTTTATGTTTATGTTTTTGTAATGGTAGTGAAGTTCAACCAAATTCTTCCTAATGTTCTATTGCATTTTGAATTAAATGAATAATGTTATGTTGTCCATATAAATCGTTATGCCTGTGTCTGTTTATTTATAATTTGTGTCTGTCTTAATCTCAAAGAGATATTCAGTTGCTTTAAGGACAGCTAATTTCTGTGCTTGATCATGGGAACATTATATACCCAATCTATACTGAGCTAGCATCAGTGTTTCGTTTTTTTTTGTTTTTTTTTTTAATATTCAGGGACATCCCACAGTATCTCCATCCTTGCTCCCGTCTATATATATTTCTGTCCAGGTTTCTGCACCAGTTTGTTCATTCAGCAGTACTTGAGCCTTTATTGCAGGAGCGTACAGTTATTTAGAAGGTCTATATTTTCGTGTGGTACAAGTTTGTAGTTAGCAAGTTTTTTTAATGTCATAGTAGTACCTTTATTTATATATATATAAATAATGAATAATATAAATATGAATGTATAGATCTATAAAAAACACACAGGTACTTGTGAGCGACATGGGCTCTATGGACTGCTATCTGCCAATGTATATAACCTGAACACTGATAATTGTGATATATATATATATATATTAATAAGAAATATAAATAACAACATACATAATTCATTTCATTTATTTATTTTGGAAGGCAAAATAGCTTTATGCTATTTAAAATAGTGAGGAATGGGTCTTCTTCTCTGTAAGAGCGCTACCACAAAAATTCACATAAATATGAATTGAGGTGTTGCCTCGCAGTTTCTTGCTGTTTCTTATTTCTCCACTTAGCTGAGCTCCATAAACGTTCTATATGTTGAGTATGGACCTCAGTCAATGGATTAACAAAGTTATAACGGTGATTCACCTGGAAATGATTGTAGTTTGCTTCATTCAATTGTTGGATGTTTTATCCTTTCCAACAGTCTGAATAAATGGTGCTTCCCTCTTCTATATTATTTGTAATACATTCTAATAAAGTTCTTGCCTTTCTGTCCTTTATATATATATATGTACAGAAACAGGCAAAAAAGAGGCAACACCAAATATATATATATATATATATATATGTACAGAAACAGGCAAAAAAGAGGCAACATCAAATATATTTATATTTCTTATTAAACAAGAGTCTAATTTCATATGAAGATAGAGATTATTAGTGCCTTATAACAATTATCAGTGTTCAGGTTATAAACACTGGCAGATCGCAATTATCAGTGCCTTATCACAATTATCAGTGTTCAGGTTATATACATTGGCAGCTAGCAGTCCATAGAGCTCATGTCGCTCACAAGTACCTGTGTGTTTTTTATAGATCTATACATTCATATTTATATTATTCATTATTTATATATATATAAATAAAGGTACTACTATTTGAAATTAAAAATACTTGCTAACTACAAACTTGTACCACACGAAAATATAAATGCATATATAAGGCAAAAAATAAATGATAATATTTATTTTTTACATATGCCAACGTTTCGACCTGAAGTTCAGGCCTTCATCAGGGCTGTCTCCTTAAGTGTTGCAGGGAGCATCTCCCTGCAACACTTAAGATTCTCCTGCAGGGAGATTCTCCCTGCAACACTTAAGGAGACAGCCCTGATGAAGGCCTGAACTTCAGGTCGAAACGTCGGCATATGTAAAAAATAAATATCATTTATTTTTTGTCTTCCTTTTTGACTGACCACCCCAACTATTCTTCTCTTCATTATCCACGATAGTCAACCAATTACCAATTATATATATATATATATATATATATATATATATATATATAGATATATATATATATATATATATATATATATATATATATATATATATATATATATATTAATAAGAAATATAAATAACAACATACATAATTCATTTCATTTATTTATTTTGGAAGGCAAAATAGCTTTATGCTATTTAAAATAGTGAGGAATGGGTCTTCTTCTCTGTAAGAGCGCTACCACAAAAATTCACATAAATATGAATTGAGGTGTTGCCTCGCAGTTTCTTGCTGTTTCTTATTTCTCCACTTAGCTGAGCTCCATAAACGTTCTATATGTTGAGTATGGACCTCAGTCAATGGATTAACAAAGTTATAACGGTGATTCACCTGGAAATGATTGTAGTTTGCTTCATTCAATTGTTGGATGTTTTATCCTTTCCAACAGTCTGAATAAATGGTGCTTCCCTCTTCTATATTATTTGTAATACATTCTAATAAAGTTCTTGCCTTTCTGTCCTTTATTTTTACGATGAAACACTCATCTGTTTCTCGACAAACTCTGCCAAGCATCCATTGTTCAGGGAGAACTCTTCCTACATGATTTTTTCGTTTAGAAAAAAAAACACTTGTCTATTTCAACCACTTTCCCAGGCCCTCCAATTTTCTTGTTGACCTGTATAACATGTTATGGTACAAACCTCTTTAAAAAATTTGTTCCATATTATGATACATTTGTTTGATAGTTTCAGTTGCTCTTTGTCCCACTTTATTGTTGTCAAATTATGAGACCACCCATAAATAAATTTTAAAGCGGTTGAAAAGGTAATCTTCGACCCCTCTAACCACGTCCCTTT